AAAAGAATCTAACAGTCCTGTACACAGTAAGTAGTTAAAAATAAATACGTTATGAAATGAACTAAGGGAGAATACCTAAGTCTCAGAATTCATGCAGTGTGATGATAATCGAGAGACCGGGTATCTTACACTCTTCTTTCAGTTCTGCCATTCTTTCTGATAGAAAATGACTCCTTTTCAATTATTTGCATTTAGAGCCACGGGCGGAGAACCTGGGAAGAGTGCCGTGTAAGGTTCCTGCCTTCATCTGTTCCATTGCCTGTGCCTACAAGACTAAATCACGGAGGGAGACAGCACGCAGGTCCCCAGCCCACACCCCTGTCTGTCTCTGACCAACGCCTCCCTCTCTGCTCTTCTCTTTCCATGCTGCTGAGGCAGAGCCCTTTGGAAAGCTCGCCTGTGCTTTCATGACCCTGCTGTGTTATGCAGGTAAAGAATGTCGAGCCAGAAAGCCATCAGGAGAGAGAACTGTTTTATGAAACAGCATTTGCAGAATCAAGTGCATTCTATTACTATTTTTGGCAGTACCGGGGTTTGAACTCAGGGCCTTGTGCTTGCCAGACAAGAGCTCTACCGTTTGAGTCACGCCCCCCCAGACCTTCAAGTGCATTCTAGAACTACCAGGGGCAAAGGGAGTGAAAGGTATAGCGAAGCCACCCAAGTCAAAAGCAAAACAGGAAAAGGGGAATTGTGTAGCTGTGGAATTTCTGTAATGCCATTCCTGAAGTGCCTCATCCAGGAGGAAGTACTGAAACAATGTTTTAAGTGACAATAAACAGACATTGGCACACAGGAAAAGCACTATATTTTGGTGGACTCTCTCCCCACACCACCCCACAGAATACTTTCTCAAACTCACCAACATTGGCACCTAAAAGACATTTCACATGACTTCAAGAAGCACAGTCTGGTTTGACAGGTGAGCTAAAGAAGAAACAAATTAGGATCAAGAATTCACATCAGGTCCATGAGGACATATAAACATGCCCTCAAAGTGAAACATATACAGCTCTAAAAAGAGCCTGATTGTAATTGACAAAGAACAAACTGTTGTCGAGTGGTAACATAATTAATACACTATGGAATAATAAAGATTGGTGAATAAAGAAAAAAAAAAAAGAAACAAAGTCTGCCCACTGCAGATTTCTCAACTCGGCGTCCACCTGCCTTTCCCTTTAGAAGACTAGCCCAGCAGGTGCAGGGAGCAGATGCAGGCGGGTGTCTGATAGTGAGGAGAGGAGACCCCGTGGAGAAAGAAAAACTCAGGGAGGGTGTGGAGGTCCTCCCTGCCCCTCTTGTGGTACCTCCCTCTTGCTCTCCACAAGGTTTTCTTTCGTCTTGGGTTTTCAGCATCAGCTTCGGTCCCAAGGAATTCTGCAGAACGTTCCACCCAAGACAACCTAGTGTCCACTCTGAGCCTTGATTATTTAATAAAGGAAAGGCTTTTGGAGACTGGAAAGAGGAACAAGTGTTTTTTGTCCTTATTTCACACTTAAACAGAGAAGTCAGCTTATTTATAAATATTTTTGAACACCAAAATAGGAGTTTTTAAGTATGTACTAGGCTGAGTATGATGGTACATACTTGTAATCTCAGCTACTTGGGAGGCAGAGATCGGGAGGACCAAGGTTCAAGGCTGGCCTAGGAGAAAAATTTAACGAGATCCCATCTCAAATAACAAGCCAGGCATGGTGGTGCTGGTCTGTGTTTCTTGCTATCGGGAGATATAGGTGGGAAGAGCTCTGTCTGAGACCAGCCATAGGGAAAAATGAGAGACCCTATCCCAAAACTAAAACCACAAAAGGGCTGGGGGTGTGTGGCTCAAGTGGTAGAGCAGCTGCCTAGCCAAGTTCAAAGCCCTGAGTTCAAATACCACTACTGAGAAAGAAAACAGCATGGTCTATCTGGGTGTTCTAACTTAAGGCAAAGAGAAGTACAGATTCAACAATTAAAACTGAGACCGAGCCTTTCAGCTTAATCCCACCACCTGTACTCCGTCCCACACGGGTGAACGTCTAGTGCTCCGTGAGTGGATCGACACTCTGTGACGGAATCTACAATTCTGAAAGACGTATAAATGAGACTGATCTGCTTAACCTGACTTAAACATTGGCTCATAGGCCGGAGATGCAAGGCCCTGGGTTCTAGCCTCAGCACCGCCAAAAAGTCAACAAAGAAACCAAAGTTGCAACATTACACAATATGTACATAGTATTACGTAGTGTATATGTAATGTACAATGTAATATGTTGCATATGGTTATGCTACTCCACTAGCATGTATAGTTTTTATATATTATGTATTGGTTTAAAAAGAAATTTAATTAAAATAAAAAAGAATAGAAATTTATAATTATGAGAAACATGTGAATATGGGAAATTCTCTTAGGTCTCAGTTTGGCAGTTGGGAAGAAAGGGGACGCTGCAATAGGGCCGCAGCTTCTGTAAAGTAAGACCTAAATGGCTGTGACTGCAGCGTCCCCCCTTGGCTTGTTTTTGACCTTGGCAAAGCCCGTGTTGTGCTCCCTTATCTTGACACAGGGCAACACTAACATTGCTTGTGGGGAAGGTGGCGTGAGGCTGTGACTACGGACCCCTGGCAGAGTCTGGCACACGGAACGCACTCAGCATATGGGAGCTGTTTTTCGGATGTTCTTTTTTTAACCCAAAAGAAAGGGAAAGAAAGAAGACAGAAAGAAATGAGAGGACACGGGAAAGATGGACGCCTGGGGGAGGGGTGGGGGAGCGAGGAGAAGACGGGTGGAGTAGCAACTGGGAGGGGACACTTTCACCACTTCCCAGCATCCATCGAAGCTTGCCTGCTCAAACATTTTGTAAGATCCCTGTTCGAGGTAATGTTTGCCCCTTCTGAGTCCGGTGGCAGTGCTCCTGGGACAATCATTAACGCCAATTGCCTGTCTGCCTTGTGGGTGTATTCCCTGTCCTGGGACCCGGACGCACTGTCTTGCAGACACTGGCGGCCAGGCCTAACATGGACCACAGGGAGGTCATCCTCCTGCTTCTTTTATTTCTGAAATCAGGTAAGGACTGACGTTTTGGTTGTTGTTTAAGGTTAGTTTTTCCTAGCGATGTATTAAAAATCGATAGACCATGTGCAATTCATTTAATTGAGCTGTTGACTTATGAAATTTTTTTCAGTTCAAAAGCTAAGATTGGGGAATCTTCCAGACACAAACTTAATTTCCCTGTGAACACTGTTAGGGTGTGGGAGATGAATGGTCATAGGATAATGGGGAACTTTTCAACTCTAAATGATTGTGCCCACATGATGGTGATTTCCGTTGAAAAAAATTGCCAGTGAAACTAAAGGCCCAAAAGATGGTTAATCTCTTTGGCTGGCTCAGTTTAGTTAAGTTGTATCATTTTGGCTAAACCGTCATATTCCCACAACTTTTAAATTTAAGCAATGAAATACCTCTTGGAGTATATTTTATCCCTGACCATCTGTGTATTTGGACCCTGCATTTCTCTATTTTTTTACCATTTAAAGAAGGTTTTCTATGGTTGTATGTTTGTCTCTTATAAATGGAGAGGTCACAGGCATCATTTCTTTCTTTATTTTTGGTAGGACTGGGTCTTGAACTCAGGATTTCCTGCTTACCAAGCAGGCCTCCACTGCTTAAGCCACACCTCCAGTCCATTTTAGTCTCATTAGTTTGGAGATGGAGTCTTGAGAAGTATTTGCCTGGGCTGGCCTCAAACCACGATCCTCCTGAGCTCAGCCTCTTAAATAGCTAGACTAACAGGCTAACAGGCCTGAGCCACTGGTGCCGGGCTGCATCAGTTTTTGGAATGATGACTGTACATAGTAATTCAACATTTAGGGCTGGGTGGACCAGGCACACTTTCATCAACACATACGTGTGTGCATGTGTGTGTGTGTCCTCACGGAGCTGGTGGTATAGGTGGGTTATGTAGAGGAGGAAATCTGCGTTTAGGAAAATCATGGTTTTGGCCTGTTGATCAAATACCCAAATCAAGGAAATGAAGAAACTTGGATTTGAATCAAGGCCCTCCAAGAAAGAATTTAGTGTTCTTCTGCAATTTTCAACTTTTTTTAAACTTTAAAAAAATTCATCTATAAATGAAGGTGTTTGCTTTTTAAAATGGCTTTATTGAGATATAATTCACATAGTACACAATTCCCCCAGTTAAAGCACACAATCCAGTGGTTTTCAATATATTCAGAGTTGTTCAATCACCACCACAATACAGTTTAGAATATTTTCATTATCTCCCCCAAAAGAAATGCCACTCTCCTTAGCCATTACCCCCAGTCTTCAGCCCCCAAAAACCTTTGATCTACTTCTGTCTGTATGGAGTTGCTATTTTGAACACTTCATATCAAAGATATCATACATTTATATAAGCAAATCAATCCATAAGTTACCAGATCAAGTTTTCCAAGTTGTACTTTGTAGTTAAGTACATTTGAATGTAGTGGGAACCACTCAAAGAAACATCAAGGAAATTGAGAGCAAGAGAAGATTAAATACAGATTTTTGAGGAGGTTCAAGTGTCCTTTCTCAGCCCAAGGAGAGTAGGATTGGGCACACCATGAACTTCTGCTGGGCTACTCCCAAGGTTAGAACAAACTTCCCTGCAACAAGCTTAAATGCAGGTCTTAACCAACCCAGGGGAAAACTATTTCAGAAGCTCTATTTGAAAGGAAAGCATTTACTCTCGTTTTCTGTGGAAATGCCGTTTATCTTTCCAAGTATGCTAACTTGACAGGGGAGAAGAAAAAATTTCTTTTACAGCTGTCCTCAGTGAGAGGTGGCTAAACAGTTTGTGCTTCACAAACTATTGTGAGTTTTTTTTATACATACAAGTATGCAATCACACACACGCTGCAGCAATGAGAAAAGTCTCACATTACGAATAAAATGTATTGCTTTGATAGCAATATACATCTACATTTTCCCTATAGAATAAAAATGTTTTTCCTGCTAAAAGATTTGCTTAGTGTTTCTTTGTCAACAAACAAATTGTATTTAAGGCATTGCCACATGAGCCCTGAAACATTGATCCTCTTTAGAGATATTTCTTTGGGCCATCAGATTTTAAGGTAGATGCTGGACTGGTGCTCTACCACTTGAGCGGAGCCTCCGATCCTTTTTGCTCCAGCTATTTTGGAGGTACAGTCTTGCTTTTTTGCTCAGGCAAGTCTGGACTGTGATTCTCCTGTTTTACACTTCCTGCATCGCTGGGATGACAGGCATGTGCTGCCATGCCCAGCTTTTTTCTTTTGAGATGAGTCTCACACACTTTTTTGCCTAGACTGGCCTGGAACCATGACCTCCTATCTTAGCCTCCTAAGTAGCTTGGGATGACAAGTGTGTATGTCACTGAGCCCAGCTATTGGTTGAGATGGGGGATGGGGGAGGCCTCTTGATCTCTGCCTGAACTGGCCTCAAACTTTGATACTCCCAATCTCAGCTTCCCAAGTAGCTAAAAATTCTCTTTTAAGATATCATTCATACCTGCCCTTCTCAAGAACTCTTCACAAAGGTTGACTAAACTCCATAGAATATACTTTACGGATTTATTATGTATTTCTCAAACCACATCCCGATCTATAGAATTTACCAAAGCGCAGTGCTTCTTGAAAGTGAGAATTCAAAATGGATAAACAAGCAGCAAGGTGAAGACAGGGATGTGGGTCTGAGATTCTGTTTCTCCAAAGTCTTCCAGAGGCTCATCAAGTGCTTTGAAATGTTAGTGTTTCAGCCAACTGCTTGCTCTGTATCCACCATTCCAGGTTGGAGCATCTTAGATTGAGGAAGGTTGGAGCAGCAGAGGATGGACTTTGGAAGGAGAACTTGCTTTAATCCACTGTCTTCTCCTGTGGCTCCCACTTCCTATCCTGGTCACTCTTTAACCCACTCAATCTGGCTCTGGTCCCCAGTGCTCCCCTCAGTGGTCAAGGTTGCCATGTTGCCTAATCCCCTGGAAACTTTGCTATCTTCATTCCATTAACCTCCTCTGGCCTCTCGTCTCTGTGAAACCACCAACGTTTACACTGAAAGGATGGAAATTGGTGTCTCCAGGCCTGGAACAGAGCTGTCAAAGCTAGGTCAGGCGCTGCATAGAGCCTCGGACCCAGGGACACTTGGCAGCCCTGTGGTGGGAAAAGGTCTGAAGGCTCCCTTGTCACAATCTGCAATGAGGGAAAGTCACAGAGTCTCTTCCTCAGTAAAACCAAGGCCAGTATTTGTCCCAGGCTCCACTTCATAATAATTTCCTCTGAAATGCCAGATGTCTGTCCTCATCACAGAACAATCATGTTATTGGAAAACACACACTGCAGGAAATCAAGAAGTGGTCCCCAAGCTCCACTTAATCCCGAGGCCTGGACAAATCAAAACCAGTTTTGGTAACACAAGTGCCACGGGAGGTTTTTTATGACAAACATATAAAAATTTTATTCATAGTTAAAACTTCATGTCTGTTAGTTTAGTACAGAAGTTGTTACAAAGTTTTAATCTACACTCTATTGAGCTAGTTGTTCTTTTAATACATTGCAGTCTGCTAATGAAACTGTTTTCCTTAGGAAATATTTTTATTCATGGCAACCCCCTGGGCTTCCAACTAAGTAGCAAGCTTTGCTTGGTGGATGTAAACCAGATAGATGGCACAGCCATGAGAATTGGACAATGGTGTTGACTAATTCGCTCAGTTATTCCACTTTATCTTCTGTTTTTAGGTCAAGGAGTCTCCCTGGAAGACTATGTAAACACCCAAGGAGCATCCCTGTTTAGTGTCACCAAGAAGCAGTTTCAAGCAGGAGGCATAGTCGACTGTGCAGTAAAGTGTGAGGAGGAAACTGAATTCATTTGCAGGTATTGTCACTGTCGTTGCACCAAGAAGCAAGCTCGCTGTTGGAGACACTATTATTTTGATGGCCAGAAATTTACTCGTGAATTTATTAACACAAGTATGATTTAAGAGGAAAAAGGAATTATGGGATTGGAGTTTGGAACTATATTTGCTCACAATATCTGAAGCCATAGTCACTATTTGTTAAGACTGATTCGTATTCCTTTTAGGAAAATACTCCAAAAGGAAGTTATTTATGCTTACACATGACATAAACATTACTAACTACTGTTCTGAGCTCCAGTTTACATTACCTTCTGTAAATACTTAGTGAGGAACACATCTGTTGTGAATGAAAGTGTTCTACGTAGCCAAAGGAGTAAAGAAGTTGGATTTGAGACCCGATGCCTGTTCCTTTGATTTCGAGTGTAACTCAAGATCCCAGAAATAATGACTTTAAAAAGGCAGCCAGTGTAGGGTATTGCTGAGAGCATAGCAATGCACACTCTACAGAGGTCTGAAGGAAAGAACCACTCCTGGGGGTTGAGACAGGTAGAGAAAGTTTCAGGGAGGAGCTGGGAGCTGAGCTTGGCTTTGGGGGACAGTGGGGTCTTGATAAGCACCAAAAAAGGCAGGGCAGCATTCTGGGTATGGGAGGGGAGAGGCCCAGCCCCACACCTGTGATAAGGACCAGGAAAAAGACCAAGGTTGTTAAAGCCAAGTCTTCACACGGGTGGTTTGCCTGAAGACATAGCTACTGATGACCTTGAACACCAGGCTGAGCCTCCAGCAGGACCTCATGGATAGGGTAGGGAGGTGGGAGGATTTTGGGGCCTGATTTCTATGGCTATAACAGAATACCCACAACTACTTAATTTATAAAGGAAAGAAGTGCATGATTCTGGAGGCCGGAAGTCCAAGTCTGGGCAGCCACACCTGGCCAGGGCCTCATGGGGAGCTATACAGCATGGCAGAAAAGTGGAAGGGGGACCAGGTGTGTGGGAGAAAGGGAGGTCAGTCCACTTCATAACAACCGCACTGATGGTAAACAACGCAGGCCCACAGGAGTGACAGCTCACTGCTGTAAGAATTAACCCAGTTCTCCCAGAAAGACATCGATCTGCTTAACAACCTAACCACCCCTTAAATGTCCTGCTACCTCTCATCAGAGGACCAAGCCTCACCATGAGTGTTGATGGGGATAAACCATGTTTGAACTACAGCAGAGGTGAAAGGGGAGGAATGTAGAGGTAAACTCAAGGGGAAATTATAGGAGTCTAGAAGTCAGCTAGGTAGACCAGCTGAGGAAAGGACTTAATGCAGAGTTGTTCCTCCCAACCCAGAATGCTGCCCTGCCCTTTTGGTGCTTATCAAGACCCCACTGTCCCTCAAAGCCCAGCTCAGCTCCCAGCTCCTCCCTGACAATTTCTCTACCTGTCTCACCCTCAGGAGTGGTTCTTTCCTTCGAACCTCTGTAGAATGTGAATTGCTATGCTCTCAGCAATACCCCACACTGGCTGCCTTTTTAAAGTCATTATGTCTGGGTTCTTGAACTACAGGCATCGGATCTCATATCTAACTTCTTTACTCCTTTGGCTATATAGGACACTCAAGAAAATGAGTGAGGAAAGGCCACAGCAATTTAAACAGAGAGAAAGAGAAAATTTGGAGAGGGAGAAGATAAAGGTGTAAGAGATAAGAGTAGCTACTATGTTGATTGATTCATTTTCAGAGCTGCACCCCATCAATCTGTGACAAAATAACCAGTAGTCAATGATTCTGAGCTCACCGATCATTAGGAGATGCAATCATCTTTCAAGTGTCTTGATTATTAATTAACGTTTGTTTCCATAAAGGAAGAGTTTCATGGTTTTTATGACTCTCTTCTGCAGGTCGTTCCAATATCACAGTAAAGAGCAACAATGTGTGATCATGGCCGAAAATAGCAAGTCTTCCTCCGTCATTAGGATGAGAGATGTTGTTTTATTTGAGAAGAAAAGTGAGTACATTTTCTTCTTCCCCTTCCTCCTTTGTACCTTCAATGTATGAGGTTACTTCAGAGAATGGAGGCATTATAGGGTAAGGGATTGCATTCTGAGTTATGACGGATTTGGTACCTAGCCAGCTGTATTAATGTGAGCCCATTACTTCACCTTTCTGGTTTCATTTTTTATGTTTAAAAATGAAACAATTGGATTTACAAAGTCACTTTTATCTCTGTGACCCTAAAAGTAAGATATTCAAGACCTGGTTTTATTTTGAAGGGGAGATGGGGTGTCCAAACCCTCCTTTTGATCTTGACTTCCTATTCTGCATAGTGACCATGGTCCTTGAGCTCTAACTTCTGAACAAAAGCCTGGCTCAACAGAAATACTGAGATATTTTTAATCCTCAGCTACATTTAGATGGGGACACAAATCCTTATTAAATTTTCTGCTATTTTTGGTCATAGTCTATAGTTCCCTCAGACTGAATTACTGTCTTTTGAAAACATGCATAAGTTTCAGCTCCTTTTCCATAGTTCCTTTAAAATGTGGACCAGTTGTTTAGGATAAGAGATAGCCTGGATTCTGATGAAAATCATGCCATTTGGGGATACAAAAGTGCCCTTAAGTATGCATGAAGATTTAAATGAATGTGTTACACTTTAAATACACAATTACATTCTGTTGCTGGCTCGGTACTCCATTAAGCCTTAAGAATTCAACTCTTCAAATATTCTGTATCACAGTTACTACAGAACATCCAATTTCTTGTGTTCTTCACAGTGACTTCCAATATTGTTTCTAGTCTAACCAGAAAAACTCTAAATGAGATTTTTAAAGTGTTTCTTTGGATTGGGATAATTTCTGCACATTGATTCATCTTCTTGGGTGTAATGAGCCGTACTTCTTTTGGCCTCCCTTCCTTGTCTCTGCTTATCTCTAATTCTTGAGATTAAAGTGCAAATTAAATCTGAACCTTATCTGTTGAAGTTGTGAGTTCTTAAAAGTAGAGCATAAAGGAACAGAGCAGAAACAGGAATATGTAGAGTTGCCCAGATCTTTATAGAAAGGGGAGGCAGTGGGAAACTCTCTACACATGCTAACATTTAAACATGTCATTTGTAAATTGTTAACCAGAGGAACAGGGGGGCACTGATAGGCTTAGTTTGAAGTCAGGAGTTTGGAGGCTCAGTTTGCTTGTTTTTGAGGTAGCAAAAGGTTATATAAACTCTGGTGGGGACATACAAACAAGAGAGAGGCAAAAAGTCAAAAGTCAGTCACTTTTTGGTCCTTGTTTCTTTACTGTGGAATATGGACCCACTGCTGCTAGTTTATCAGCCAGGGTTTGCTGGGAATAATCAGGGTCAGATCACTTTTAAGCTTGCACTTACCACCATCTCTCCTGCTACCCTTGTCGCCAAGCCACCATCATGTCTATCTAGCCAAGGCCTTTGCAGTCATTGGTCCCCAAATTGTAGCTGCCCAACTGACCTCTTACCAATGCATTTTCCCAGTACACTTAGAATAAAATCCAGGTAACTGCCAGGCACTGTCAAGCTCCATACTATGTAAGGGCCACTGCCTTTTCTGTTCCTTCAACTCATCAAGTCTCACCCCTCTTGCTGGACTGTCTTCATCTTCACCTCTCTTCTTGCCATGCCAGCCCCAATTTAACTCTTCATCTTAGTGCAAACAGCACCTCTTTCAAAAGCCTTCCTGGCTCCCAGGCCTTCATTTCTCAAAGCACCTTGACCTTACTCTTCTGATACATTAGAACACCCACTGCAATAGGATATCCCAAAGAAGATACAGGGGCAAGCCTTACATGTCATGTTTTAAAGGCATTTGTCTTCTAGGGGTGTGCTGGAAGTACTTCCCAGAGACTAATCAATGAATCAGAAAACCTGACTGAAGTAGGAAACTTAACAAATGGCACAAATACAACTGTGAACATTGCTGTATGTTTTCACTGATGTCGAGCAGGCTTTCCCCTGAACAGCAGTTCTCTGCATCTCTTGCACAGACTAGGCTCCAGTGCATTATTTGCAACAGTCAAGTCACTTTTTTCATTTTTTTTGTTTTTTGCAGTACTAGGATTTGAACTCAGGTCTTCAAGCTTGCTAGGCAGGGCTCTATCACTTGAGTTACTCCACCAGCCCCACTTTCCTCATCTTTGGGGCAAAGTGAGATCTAGACATTTGTGATCACTTGGACTCTGTAATAAATACCTTTAGAAGTTTATGATTTTCCCTCGAACTCATTTAGTCAATGGTACAAGTGGGCTGCCTCAGTGCATCTAACAGCAATTTTAAAATGATTCGACCCTTTCATGCCTAAAAAGCATTCAACTTAGTTACACACAAAGCAAGAGTGTTGTCTCTTTTCACGTTCATTTCTCAGTTTAGACCATAATTTAGTGTAACTGTTTAGGATTGTTGGACAACACAAACAAATGACTTAGGAAGCATATAGCTCAGAAGTGGTGGCACACTGCTAAGGGGCCTTCCAGATTTGGGGGCCCACCCTGCTGCTGGTGGACAACAGGTGGCACCTGACTGTGAATTGCCCAAGTGAAGGCTGACTGAGAGCATGTACTGCAAACATTTAAAGTAGACATGGTTTTATAGCACTGTTCAGCCCTTTCCCATATTACTAGGAGCCCGAAAGAGTAAATGTGACTTGGGATCTCTTTGTCTCTGAAAAGCCCCCTCTCCCTACCATCTAAGGACCCATCCTCTCTCTTTCACTCTCCCTCATCGCTGTTGTGTTCTCTGTAACACACATCGCTATGAAGTGAGCTCATTTCAAAGTTTTTTCCCAGATCCCTTTGTCAACGTCCTGCCCCACTAGCACGTGAGCCCCAAGAAGGCAGGGCCTTGACTGTTTTGTGTTCCATGTGTCCAGCCCCAGCCCATTGCCAGGCACCAGGATGGGCCCAGGAAGGAGCTTTTGAATAAACGAATAAGTATGAATCGTCTGTTTCCCACAGCCCTTCCACTGGTCCCTCTTACGGCAGGCAGGTGCTGCCTTGCTTGTGAGTTCTCTCTCGGTGGGACTATGCTGTGCAGACCTTTGTTAAATTTCTTTTTTTCTCATTTTTTTAGGTTTGAATGTAGGCCCTTCTGCTTGACCACTGGAGCCATGCCTCCAGCCCTTTTTGCTTTGGTTTTTTTTTTTTAATAGGGTCTCTTTATGCCCTGGCCAGTCTGGACCCTGATCCTCCTATTAACTTTTCCCCCATGGCTGGGATGACAGGCATGCACTGTCACACCCAGCTATTGATTGGGATAGGGTCTCTTGAACTTTTTGCCCAGGCTGGCCTCAAACTTTGATCCTCTTGATCTCTGCCTCCCAAGTAGCTAGCATCACAGGTGTGAGCCACTGCACACGACATTTTTGTGAAGTTTCCTTTTGGGATTTTGACACTGTGTGGATTTCTTTCAGTGTATCTTTCAGAGTGCAAGATTGGCAATGGGAAGAGCTACCGAGGTACCATGTCCAAGACGAAAAGCGGTGTTACCTGTCAAAAGTGGAGTGCCTCTTTCCCCCACAAAACTAAGTAAGACGTTCTCTCAGCTTTGTGCTCACTGACTGCATTTAGAATCATTCCGTTACTTTCAAAGTAAACCAGAATATATGACTGAGCAGACAGAGAGAAACTTTTGGTGTGGCTGCAAACTAGTTCAATTATTCATAGTACAAAAGCTATAAGTGGTTGCTTTCTGCTTGTCTGGTTTATAGTGCTTTCTGAAGGAGGCCTACATTGCATCCAAGGCTACATGTGAGAAAAGACCAAAGATAACTACATTTAGGCCATCTGTGTCTTAACCAAACCTATCAACTTAGAACTCTCACTGTATGTCCACCTCACAATCGTGGAGCGAGCAATACATAAAATGTAAAAATGAAAAGTACATGAGATATAAAGTGTATAGCTTGCTTGTTATTTCTGTGTCATTCTGTGTGTACTTTCCATGGTTTGGTGTTAGATGGTACTAAGTTCCCTGTCCTAAAGCCTGTCAAATAGGAACTTAGTGTCATTTGCCCTGACCCCACCCCAAGCAAGCTGCATTTGCTGTGTCACTGAGAGAAGAGTAGACCGAGAAGTCTTCATTCCATGAAGTACAATAATTCAGCCAAATGTCCAAATCACTGGATGTCTGGGGCCTTTGCAATAATCCCAGCTCATCTATCTGGGGAAACTGAGGTCTAGAGCACAGAGGATTTCCCAAAGCCATTACCTAGAAGAAACAGAAATGGAACTTGTCTTGTTAGACTCAAGTTCTTGTGCTTTTTATCTAATTTGTTATCTACATGACAACTCATCCCTAGAACTGAAAATAACCTTAATTCTTCCTCCTCCACCCATTAATTCAGGTTAGATTTCAGGGAAAAACCTGGCCTTTGGAAGCAGAGGAGACTTAAATTCTTGACCTGCTCCTTACTGGTTTTCCAAGCTTAGGCTTGTTTTGCTTTACATTGCCGGTCTCAGTTTTCTCATGCATCAAATGGGAATAATAATACCTTCCCCATAGGGATTTTATTAAGACTAGGTGGGAGAATTTCTAGGAAGATTTTAGTGGAAGGTCAAGTGTGTAGTCCACAAAAATTTATTGGCTCCCATGATTCTTACCAAGAGTAAAGGCCACTGACAAAAGCAGGCATTTGAGGCCTTTGTATTTCTGCTGTCTTCAATGAAGATACTGTGAGACCTGGCTGTCCACAGAGTAAGGACAATAGGATGGGCTGCTGTGCCAGAAACAGCCTGACAACAGGAAAATGAAGACTGTCGCAACCCAGATGTGACAGCCTGTAGTTGAAATGCACTTGGATGACAGCAATTACACCCCAGATAGGAAACAGAGAGCCTCCTTCTGACTTGCTGAGATACACTGGCTTTTAGGACACAAAGTGCTCCTTTTCTGTCCTCCACAGCTTTTACCCTGAGAAATATCCCACAGAGGGACTGGAGGAGAACTACTGCAGGAACCCTGACAGCGATGAGAATGGCCCCTGGTGCTACACGACCAACCCAGACCAGAGGTTCGACTACTGTGACATTCCTGAATGTGAAGGTCAGGAAGTCCTTTCCTATCTCCCTCACCCATGAAGTACTTTGCTGCAGAGCCATTTCCCACAGGGGTGTTATTAACAACCCACCAGTGCTGTGTGTATTCCAAAACTGAGCACCGCATCACCTCTTGGAAAGGAGAGATTTGCTCAGTCTCCCAGTATTGACCTGAACGATTCTTATTAGAATGATTCTTCAACATGTACACAATAAGACCAGATCTAAACTCTACATACATACTTCTTACGCTTGATATTCTCACACAGTGTAAAACTCCAACCACCTTTGCAATTAAAGAGTCAAATTAAAATGATAAAATCAGTAACGTTCAAAGAAACAGTATTAATTTCATGTGGATGATTTTATTGTTTAGTTGAAGCTAAGTAACGAACCAGTTTTTGTATCAGCAATCTTTATTTTAATGGGCTGGTTAATTTACTAGTGTACTTCAGAGGTCAATGTTAAAAAATAAAAATATCAGGCTGGAAAACATTTCTTCATTTCATATTTCCAGGTTCATTATTAGAGTAAGGAGAATAGGTCCAGGTGGGATTTGTGTGACAATGTGAATATCATACCAGGTGACAACTCACTCCTCCTGTCACCTGTCTCTTGTGAAGAGTGGAGATCCTTTATTTGAACACTGTCACAAGCAATTTGATCTTTATATGTCCCAAATGCATGATTTTTGTATGAAGTCTATAGGTGTTTTCCTTATTACCCCAGAGAAGTTATTGTTGTATATACTCTCCCTCTCCATGTGACTTCAATAATTCCAAATCAAAGTTTCAGTGTTTAAATAAGTTAGACAACAAAAATCAATCACTTTCCAACTAGAAAAAAGGAGAAATCTAGACACTTTAGGCGAAGGTTGTTCTCCAGTGAGGTCATGGCACAAATGAAAACTCCAGCCAGAAAGTACTAAGATGGTGTCAGTCACGGGATGATCAAAATAATTTGATAGAGTTTTTGACAATCATTACTGAAATGAGATGTCCAATATTTAAAAATCCTCATGGGGAACTTACAGGCTTCTGAGGACAAGTGCCTCCCAGCTTAAGGACATGCATTATGTACTTTCTGAAGTTGGTCATGACTATTACAGTTAAGGTGGTGTTGACCAACATATGCTAATTATACCATTTGAAAAAAAACAACATTTTGGTTTGTGTTAGATCATTCTGAATTTTTATCATGAAGTGATTTTTGGAAATTACGTGTGAACAGGAACATTTAAGACGTCTCTACTGGGATTTTATTTTCTGTTCTCTGTTTTGTTTCACCTACCTGTCTTTTTCTTCTTTTCCCTTCCTCCCCATGCTCTACAGATGAATGCATGCATTGCAGTGGAGAGAATTATCAGGGCAAGATCTCCAAGACCATGTCTGGACTTGAATGCCAGGCCTGGGACTCTCAGAGCCCACATGCTCATGGATACATTCCTTCCAAGTAAGTCTCTGTGCTCAGGGCTCCTCAGATGCTTAGCGTGCCTCAAGAGATGCACACTGGTGGTTTGGGATTTCAAAGCTGGTGTCCTCCCCTAGGCTGTGAAGTGCTCATCCCGGTTGCTTGCTGTGTGGTCCATCATCTGAGTGTTTGATAGAAATGCAGAATCTCAGTCCCATCAAGAAGAATTTGCATTAAAACTAGATCCACAGCTGCTTTGAACACATATTAAAATTTGAACAAGATATCTTATTTGTGTGTGTTCCAAATATTTCCCTCTCTTCACTTCATACCTGTGAGATACAAGACTTCCTAACCTACGATCCATAGGTGAACACCAGGCGTCTTGTGAATCCCAGATATTTTTTGTGTGTTTATATGGGAACATTTTTCTGGGACAAGGAGTCACAAATTTCACCAAATTCTCCATGACCGTGAGTTGAAGAGCAGGGGTAGAGAGCAAGGATGAGGATTTTACTTCCTACTCATTGCCCTGGTAAATAGCCCTCCCCCACTCACCCAGCTGCTCTGCTCTTTCTCATTCTCTGCTGACCATAGGACAGGAACAGGACTTCTGAGAACTGTGGGAGTGAGGTCAGCCACCGCTTCCCCTGTGGAACGGACGCCACTGAATTTTTGCATTTTACATTCCAAATAGCTCACTTAACACACTTAATAGCTGTTGTTACTGTCGCTCAAAGGCCCGTGAATAGGTAAACTCACCTCCAGGAAACTGGGAGACAGGAGTGAATAGGCCACAGCTGGCTGCTCTGTGCATCCTAAGCCTTCATATTAGGGAGGGAGAGAAGCAGCCCAGAGGGACCGGGAGTGGTGCACACCTCCCAGCGGAGTCCCTGGGTCCCTGCCCAGGAGGCCTCACTGGGCAGCTGCTTAATGGACCATGGCTTCTTCCTATCCATTTGTCTAATGTTCTTGGAAGTGGCAACAGGCCTGGTAGACCAGAAGGACGAGAACTTTGTGACATGAAGTCACCAACTTCCAAGCTGACTAGGTCACTAGCTTTAGACAGTGAACATTTTGTATTTCAAAACTTGCTATTATTTGCAGTGGAATAGAGGTTGTTTACATCACATCTCCAGATGGCCCAAATGATAAGGCAACTGGTCCCATTTAGTGGTTTTTACACATGTAAACTGTTACAAAAACAGTCCTTGGAATGCTGAGCTCATCTTTCTTCCTAGATTACTATCTTTTTGAGGACAGCTTTCATCCAGCTACTTCCTCCCTTGGGTGCCTGACTGTGCCTAGCATACAGCAGATGCTCAATGTTTGCTCACCATGAAAGATTCACATCCATAGCTTGGTGCTCGAAACTCACACCTTTAATCCTAGCTACTCAGGAGGCAGAGATTAGGAAGATCACTTTTTTTTTTTTTGCAGTACCGAGGCTTGAACTCAAGGCCTACACCTTGAGCCACTCCACCAGCCCTGTTTTTGTGAAAGGTTTTTTGAGATAGGTCTCACAAACTATTTGCCCAAGTTGGCTTCAAGCCAAGTCCTCCTGATCTCTGCCTCCTGAGTAGCTAGGATTAAGGCGTGACCTACTAGCGCCCAGCAAGATCACAGTTTGAAGCCAGCCCCAGGCAAATAGTTTATGAGACCCTATCTTGAAAAAAATACCAACACAAAATGAAAAAAAAAAAAAAAACAAAAACCAGGGCTGGCAGAGTGGTTCAAGTGGTAGAGCGCCTGCCTGGTAAACCTTAGGACCTGAGTTCAAACCTCAGTACTGCCAAAAACAAACTAACAAACAAAAAAAGATTCACATCCATGAATGTAACTGTTCAGGAGTATTAAAATCCTTTTTGTCCACTCAGATTTCCAAACAAGAACTTGAAGATGAATTACTGTCGGAACCCCGATGGGGAGCCCCGTCCCTGGTGTTTCACTACCGACCCCAATAGACGCTGGGAGCTCTGTGACATCCCTCGCTGCCGTAAGCACTGCTCACACCTGGTACTCGGGGGTCCACACCTGCTTGGCTCTTGGAATCAAGAAGGAGACACGTACATGGTGTCTGAGAGTAGGGCCAAAAAAGTGACCCGCAAGTCTGTGGGATGTTATTGCACTTTATTGGCCTTTAAAACAATTTACTGACCATGCGAGGTAATTGATCAGCTGTGGTCAATCCGCTTATCATGATTTTCCTATCAGAGACTTCTGCCTCGGATGAGTGCACTGAGACGCAGGTTGCTGGATGACAGCTCCAACCTTCCACTTTTCCCTGTGTTAAAGCGAGGCCACACGTGTGCTGTGTTCACAGACTTCACAGGCAGAGTTCTTTCTAACCGTTGCTTTGTGAACGGGAATCATCCGTGGGCATCCAGTTTTTCAGCATATCCACCTTGGGGAACAGTGAGAAAAGAGTCCGTAAGAAGTTGAGATGGAAGATCTAGTAGAAGTGAAGTGAGGTGGAGAACACAGTTTTATCCTCTATTCCTTGTCTGAGAATTTGAACCAGGAAACTGAAAGTTTAGACAGTCATGATGGTTAGAAAGATCCATTGGAGGATGGCTTCCTTCCTTCACTCTTCCTCGGGGAGCTGAGATTTTAAACATCAGTGTCTTTATGAATGTCACTTTGTCCTTTTGTCTTTTTTTTCTTCTTAAGAGTAGCTTGATTTCTGGTCACACACACTTTTCCTTGACGACATCCTTTTGCCATTTTTGTTGGGCTCTTGCTCAGTTTTGTGGCTTTATGGTATATTCCTTCCGTTATGTTGGCTCAGTTAATAACATATTCTTCACAAAAGAGCTTGAGTCAAAGGTGTACGTAAGGAGTCGAGATGGGAGAGGGACTGCACACTGATCCTTCCCATGAGTGATGAACTGACCCACAGACTATAGAAAGAAGCAGTAAGCCCAAGGACCCACCCCTGGGGAAATTCCTCATGAGATGGTCTCATAGACATAGATCCTACCAAATTGGCTTTTCTGAAAATACTGAACAATTTTCAAGTGCCCAATTCTAAGCAAAGAAGCCAAAGAGATGACAGGCTGAGCATCCAGAATCCATCCTCCCATAACCATTAACGTGTGCATTCTTGATTTGAAAAATATTCACTATAATTTATTTTACCCATCCAAGCAACTCCTCCACCCACTTCTGGTCCAACCTACCAGTGCCTGAAGGGAAGAGGTGAAAGCTACCGAGGAAAGGTGTCTGTCACCAAGTCTGGTCACTCCTGTCAGCGCTGGAGTGAGCAGACCCCTCACAAACACAACAGGACACCAGAGAACTTCCCATGCAAGTATGCTGGTCCCGTCTCCTTCCTCCCTGCTCCTTTGGACTGTAAGTCCCATGGACTTAGTCTTCATTTTAGTTGCTATAGGAACCCAGGATTAATGGAATCTGGAATGACAACTGATCAAGTCACAGGCAAGGGAAGTGAAGTTCAGGAACACATTTTCCCATAAGTCTTTCTCAGACTGTGGTCTTCCAAGACAGTGACATCATCACTAGAAATCTGCTAGAAATGCAAATTCTCAGTCCCTACTCCCAGCCTTCTAAAACATAAACGTCAGGGCGGGACCCAGAAAAATGACTGGCAAACCGTCCACCAAATGCAGCTAAGGCTTGCCAGGCACAGCTCTGTAACACTTGAACTCCATGTCAAGATGCAGAGGCAGGTACCGTGTGGGAAAAACCCATTGTGTTCCTAGCATGTAACACGGTGTCCAGCACAGACAAAAGGTCTATCTTACTGGACTCTGTCTCAGTCATTTACCCAAAAGAGCATCTGTGCCATGACTCCATGGAATCCTGTGCTCTGCTTAAGCTCTGCCTCAGTTTCCTTCCTGACCCTGTCGTTCAGTTCATATGATTCTAAAGCGTTAGATGGAAATGTTCCAATATCACCATTAACAATTGTGTGTGTTCCTTGTTTTTTAGACTTTTTGAAAAATCAAACTCACACTTCTTTTTCAGAGATTTGGATGAAAACTACTGTCGGAACCCTGATGGAGAAACAGCTCCCTGGTGCTACACAACTGACAGCAATGTGAGGTGGGAGCATTGTAACATTCCTTCCTGCGAGTCTTCGGGGCCCACCCCGATCCTGCAGATACCTCAGGTAAGAGCAGGTCACTTTTGTCCTCCAGTGACATCATCATGACATACAGTAGTGCTGATCACTCAATCCTGGTGGGCTGGAGCACATGTTCTGAATGACTTCAAGGACAATTTTCAATTAGTTGAGTTTGCTTCATGGCTCTGAATATAGTCATTCTGGAGAATGTCTCACATGCTCTAGAATGTGACTTCTGCTGTCTTCTGAAGGTCAGTGAGGTCAAACTGGTCATTACTGTTGGTCTTCTATACCCTCCTGATTCCCTGTCTCCTGTTTTATTGGGTACTGAGGGATGAATGGTGACATGTCGGACTTTAACTCTAGGTTAATCCAGTTTTCTTTTTGGTTCTAACTCTGTTTGCCTTATTTATTGTGGTGCTCTGTCGCTAGGTGTACACATTTAAAACATGCATGTCTTCATGATGAAATGACCCCTTTGTTACGACATAGTGTCTCTTGTCTCTGAAGATATTCCTGCTCTGAAATCAACTTTTGCTGGTGCAAATGCAGCCTTTGAGTGCATTTGCACTAGTATTTGGGTACTGTATCTTTTTTCAGCCTTTTATTTGAGGTATTTAGACAATCTGCATTAATTATTTGTTAATATGGTTGCATTTGGATCTACCATCAAGTTAGTTGTTTTTCTTTGTCCTCTGTGGACTCTGTTCCTTTTCCATCTTCATTTGGAATGAGTACTTTTGCAATTGTTCTTTATCTCCAGTATATACTTATTAAACCAGTTTTCCTTCATAACATGCTGTTTTTTTGTTGTTTGTTTTGGTTTTTTTGGCAGTACTGGGGTTTGAATTCAGGCTTTGAGTTTGCTAGGCAGGCACTCTATCTCTTAAGCCATGCCTCCAGCCCTTTTTTCTTTTAATTATTTTTCAGATGGGGTCTCCTGCTTTTTGCCTAGGCTGGGTTTGGACCCAGATTCTCCTACCTATATCTCCTGCATAACTGTGAGGTCCCACTAACTTTTTTTCCTGGGCTAGCCTCAAACCATGATTCTCCTTTGAGTAGCTGTGATTACAGGTGTGAGCCACTGTGCCTGGCCCTCACAACATACATCTTCAATATATCCCATTTCATTTTCAAACAGTATTATTCTTGTTGATATATTATAAAATAAGGAACTCACAACATTGTTCTTCTACTTTCTTACTCTCAAAATGCTGTTCCATGTTCTCTATAATAGATGCTTGCTTCTAGTATGTTAAAAATCTCACAATTGACACTATTTAGTTTTTACTATTTGCCTATGGTCAGTTGTGTTTTAAAGAAATTATAAATAAAGTCTTCCTTTCCCTTTCCTTCCCTTCCTTTCCCTTCCCTTCCTTTCCTCTCTTTTCCATTTCTGGTGCTTGTCATTCCCTTTTCTATGTCACTTTTCCTTCAAGAAATGTTACCTGTAGCATTGTATATGACACAGAGCACATATCTGCTGTCTTTAAACTTTTGTATATCTGTAAAAGTCTTTGTTTTGCTTTTAGTTTTTAAAAATAATTTCAGTGGCTGTGTATACTAGGCTGACAGTTCTATTGCTTCTACCACTTCAAAGATAATACTTTGGCCAGATGCCAGTGGTTCACTTCTGCAATTCCAGCTACTTGGAAGGCTGAGATTGGGAGGATCACAGTTTGAGGCCAACCCAGGCAAACAGCTCAAGAGACCCCCCTTCTCCAAAATAACCAGAGCACAATGGACTTGAGGAGTGGCTTAAACAGTACAGTGCCTTCTTTGCAAGTGTGAAGCCTTGAGTTCAAACCCCAGTCCCACCAAAATAAACAAATAAATAAATAAAAAGACAATACTTTGAACAGTTTCTGACTGAAAATCTTACCTGTGTATTCAATTTTTTTCCTGTCTGCTTTCAATGTGTTCTCTCATCTTTGCTTTTCAGAAGTTTGGCTGGGTGCCTACAGGGGAGTATGTGCACGTGTTTGCATTTATTATGTTTGGGGTTCTCTGAACTTAGATTTGTGGTTTGTGATTTTTATTATCTTTATAAAAATGATCACTGATACCTCTTCAGGCATTTCTCTCCTTCCTTCTCCTGCTTGGATGCAGCCATTTCCTGTGTCTCACGACCTCTTCTTTGCTTCTCTTCCGCCTGCTGCTTTTTCTCTTTGTGTGTCAGTTTAGAACATTTCTGTGAACCATTCTTCAACTTCACCATTATTTCTTTGCTTGTGTCTTCCCTGTGGATCAGTTCAGGAAAGGAATTCATCTGAAATTCTGAAATTGTAGGTTTTGTTCTAGTATTTCCATTTTACTTGCTTTTTGGTGATATGGGTTTTGAACTCAGTACTTCACCCTTGCTAGGCAGGTGCTCTATGCTTGATCCACAGCTTCAGCCATTTTTGCCCTGGTTATTTCTGAGATGGGGTCTCATATTTTTTCCCCAGGCTGGCCTGGACCACTGTCCTCCTATTTTTATGCTTCCCACTGTATCTGGGACAACAGGCACCTGCCACTACACCCATTTTTTTCCAGTTGAGATGGGGTTTCAAGAACTATTTACTGGGGTGGCCTCAAACTGTGATTCTCCCCATCTCAGCCTCCCAAGTAGCTGGGATTACAGGCGTGAGCCCCTGGCGCCAGGCTTTACTAATTTTTTTTTATTATAGTTTCCGTCTCTTTGCTTAACTTCTCCGCCTGTCCAGGCATCTTGTCCACCTTTACCAGCAGAGTCATTTACGTGGTTATTTCACGATCCCAATCTGATGGTTTCCAGATGTGGTCATCTCTGAGAAGCAACTGACCTTTGCCTGCTAGCCCCAGTGCAGGACCATTTCCTGCCCATCCCCCAGAAGCTCGAGTGTTTGGCTATGCAGGAGTAAAGAGTCTGCAGAATGCACAGGGTGCCATGTGTGCCTCCCTCATGAACACTGGGTAGAAGACCAGACATGGCACTCTGTGCTGGGTCCACTTATAAGCACTTTGATCCTTTTTCCCTCTCCTGAATTTTAAATATTTTCAAGAAAAGCTGGGTTATTGAAGAAGTTCTAGAATGCTACAAATCTTGTGTGTGTGTGTGTGAGTGAGTGGTG